CAAGGCTAGGTGTGAGCTGGCTGGCTCTGGACTGTCCTGGTCCCAAGCATCTGACCCAGGGAGGAGTCCTGAGGACATGCCCATGGGATGCTCCCCTGAGAGGGGCCCTCTGGAGTTCTGCCTTGGGCTAGGCCATACTGGATCTAACAAGAGCGTTCTCTATCCAGCCCTGAGCTAGGAGAGCCTATGGTCCCAAAGAAGATCCTCACCTCAGTCTGCCCAAGCTGGTGGTGGGGTAGGAAGACAGCCCAGTGGAGAAAGCAGATATATGGACCTAGTGCAAATAGGGGTTCTGATGGATGCAAGCTTTGGACATGATGGGGGCCCAGAAGAGGCTGGCCTCAGCCAAGCCTCAGGGGCAAAGAGGGGTTCTGGATGATTCTTCAGGCAGAGAATAGGGTTGAGATGGGGGTGGAGGGCCGGAGCAAAGGCCTGGAGGGGATATGGAAAGCTGTAGAAAGCTTCCCAGTGGCAGTGTGTGGTGGGAGCAGAGGCTGGGGTGAAAGCAGGTCTTAGCTTAGGTAATTTAAGCTTTGGGGGACAGGTATGACAACCTCCAGAGTTATGACAGAAGGGAGGACAGAGGGCTCAGTCCCGTGAGAGTGGGCAGTGAAGAAGAGGGGCTCCCATTCCACGGGTCTGGGGAGAAGCCTCAGAAGTTTCCACATAGGAAAGAAGCAAAAGAAAAGCCCTCAGATAATCATGATTTAGGATTTGATTTAATAAACCCTTCTATAGCAGTGATAGGGTGTGAGGCACTGTGCTAAACCTTTTTCATATATTCATTCATTTAAATTTCCTTGCTACCCAATACAAGTATAATTATCATCCCATTCTACAGGTGGGTAAATGGAGGCACAGAGCAGTTTAGTGTCATTTCCTACGACCACTGATTGGGAAGCATAAGCTGAGATTGGAGCCAAACTAGTGGGAGGGGGACAGTAGTCCCCTTGAGGGAGGGAATGTTGGGCTCAGAGGAGCAGGAGGTAGTGGGAGGAGGTGGGCCTCCTGAGTGGCCATACTCTGCATTTGTCTTTGGATCTCTGGGGCCTCTAGGCAGGAGTGAGGAGCAGAGAAGTGTGATTCTACATGTGCATGTGTGTGGGTGTGTGAGGGCTTCAGTCTCTGTGTGTGTATGGGGCTCTCACTGCCCATCAGGAGCAGGGGCCTGATCATTTAAGTCGTGCTGGGTGTCAGGAGTTAGACCTAGGTATATGCTTGTTAAACCTGCCATCCTCATGCACACATACATGCCTCTGTGTGTACATGCATGTATGGAAAGGGGGGAATGGAGAGAGAGAGAGAGAGAGAGAGGAGAGAGAAAATATGAGAATGTCCAATCAATGAGCCAGTAGCCCCAGCGAAGCTGCTCACTTACCTGCCTCGTGGGCCTTCTCTTTCTCTGAGATGTAGATTTCTCTGAGTATCTGGCACCACCAGGACAGGTTTAAGATAGCCTCAGACAAGGCTGGGCCCTGAGCTGGCCACAGTCACCAGCCAACCGATCAGTGGGTGTGGGTGCCGGTGCCAGCGCAGTATTGTGCACCCCTTGGCCACCCTCAGGGTGCTTCTTCCTGGAGGTCTGGGAATTACGTGTGTGTGTGTGTGTGTGTGTGTGTGTGTGTGTGTGTGTGTGTGTTTGAAATTACTCCAGAGCCGTGGCTGTCAGCAGATGTCCTGACAAACTAGGCTCTTTACTCTTGTGGAGAAAGTTCCAGATCCAGCTTCCTGGAAATGACTCCATTTCTGTGGCCCAGGTCTCTCCCTCCCTCCCACTCTGCCTCAGCTTGTGCAACTCTGCCCAGCTTTTTCTCTGAAGATCAGCTTGGGTCTCCTTCTCCTGGGAAGGCCTCCAGCTGCAAGATCTCTACCTCTGGGGTGTATGACCGACACCTGCTGAGACCCTGGCTGGACAGAGTGGCACATGTGAAATTTGGCACAAGGACCCCGCTGCCTGCTCCTCTGTTTTCCTGTGCACTTTGCAGCATGCAGTGCAAGGCTGATGCTTCTAAGGGCAGGAACTATTCCAGCTTATATCTGTCCCCCACTTCTTTCTCCTGGGCACCATCTGTTCTGAAATCTGGACCTGGAAGCACCGGGCAAAGCCTTTATTCCTCATCGTGCTGAGCCAGGGCTTTCCTTGTGGTGAAATGTCTTCCCTTTCTGACAGAGCTTCTGAGCACAGGGTGATGTCCCCCTTCAGGTGGGCATTTTGCCTTTAGGCTGGGGCTGCCCTGAGTAGGACAGAGCACTCAGAGAAGTGTCCTGACTGCTATGTGCCTGCCCATCTGCCTATTTGTGTGTCACTGGAAGCCAGGGCTGAGACGGGGAAGGTGGGCAGATGGAGCCAACAATCTGAGCCGAGATCTCTGGCCACACCCATGCCGGGGAGATACAGGACTGGGACAAGGCCCGTGGCCCCACACTGGACCAAAGGTGGTGGGTAGATGGGCCAGGAGAGAGATTGGAGTCACTCCCAGAGCCCTCTCCCTGCAGGGCTCAGCCTGGATCTGTGCCAGCCCGGTGTGGGCAGGGAGTGCAGGATTGCTTGCTTTGCTCTGGGAAGTGCTAGGATGCTCCCTTCTCTTTGATGCTGATTTAGGGGTTTTTAAATCAATGTGGTCTGCAGGAAGACATAGGCAGAGGCTGGGAGGACACAGAAGGGGCCTTGGACAGTGCCCCTGGCAGCTGTTGGAAACCCTCAGGTGATCTGATCCAGTCTCAAGCCTTGGCTCTATAGCTGACAAGGGCCAACATCTCCTGAGGGCCTGGTGGTGGGCTGGACACTTTGGTGGTTGGTCTTGGTTAAATCTTTGAGCAGTGAGGCAAGGATTATGATACCTGTTTTACAGATAAGAAAATGGAGGCTCAGATGAGAGAACTTGCTTTGGGTTATGACAGTAAGTGATAGACTTGAATCCAGGCTCAAGTCTTTCCAAAGCCAGTGCTCTGACCTGGATGCTGAATTCTCATCCATAGCTGGGAGCTGACTTATGTGTGACTTAGGCGCAGTCTTTGGAAAGGGTGAGTGGCAGGAGGGAAGCTTCTACTCCCCAAGGAATACACACACACACACACACACACACACACACACACACTCACACACGCACACACATACACATGGCCATGTGGACCCAGTGACAGATGCCTTTGTGGTACTAGACACCTCTACAGGGATGTTTTCACGGTGTAAAGATACCTGGACACTAATTTCTAGACCTAATGGGCAGGTGGTTCTAGAATTAGGAGCTCCCAGCTGAGCCCTCAGGGCCAGGGACCCTGTAAGGAGCCAGAGGCAGACTTCTGAGCCCTTGTCCAGCTGGCCAGCAATAGGTGGGCTGCTTGTCATTGGCCGAAAGAGCAGGCGGCACAGAGAGGAAGAGATGGTCACTTGCCTTGAGCTCTAAACAGAGAGATCCAGCCTGGTGATTCTGAGCACAGACACCGGAGCCAGATGGATCTGTGTTCACATCCTGCTCTGTCATTTATTAGCTCTGTGTCCTTGAGAAAATGCCTTCACGTCTCTGAACCTGTTTCCCTTGCTGTAAGGTGGACTCATTATGCCTACTTTGCTGAGCTTGGTTAGAACGATTTTCAGTGAGATTGGTGAAGCAGTCAATAGACTATCTGCTGGCTCCCTGTGCATATTCAGCAAGTCCTGGTTATTCACTTGCTAGTTTGTCAGATACTCTTTGGCCATCTTCCATGTGGGATCATGTATTGGGTCCAGGAAATACAGAAAAGTATAGGGTGGGAACCCACTTTAAGGGGGCTGTACTCTAGACCCTGTCCTAATTGTTTGCTAGAAAATCAGTACATTGGAGGAAGAGGTGGAAGGAGCGTCTCCCATCACATGAAGGCTGCTTCTTAGCATACCCATTTTTGTAGGTTCTTCTTACTATAAGAATATGCAAATGGGTTCCTCCCTCCCCAGGTTATTTTGAGGAGTCCCTGAATAAGGGCAGGGATGTCTTCGGATCCCTTTTAAACAAATTGAAGGGTACACATTTAAAAGCCCATGTAGGCATGTTCTTTAAAAGCAAGGAGAATAACAGCAAACAAGATAAAACATGCATTTGGAAAGACATTCAGATATGTGTTTTGACCATAAAGGAGAGTCATAGCAACAAGGAGGATCTATCAGAGAGAAGTGTCAGCTATGAATTGGAGAGGAAAAGCAGATACCATATTGGTCCGATATTTATAACTAGAATGGGTGACCAAGAGCTTCTGATGAATGAGGCTGAATTCCCTCATCACGTTTCCTCTGTGGACATGAGATCCATATATGCCATACGTGCCTAACCAGTCTTTCATTTGTAACAGTGCTCTCAGAGATACTTGTGGAAGGGGGAGGTGGTAGAGCTGGGAAGGGAGAGGTCTGAGTTCTCGCTAGCACTTGCCACTGTGAAGATGATCTTGGTGTGGTGCAGGACATGTGGTTTGCCAGCCTTGGCCAATAGAAAGTGAGCTTTCTCATTTCTGGGCAGAAGCTTTGAAGACTGGGTGTGATTTTCTATGTTCTTTTCTTACTTCAGCAGACCTTGAAGGCTTATGTTGAGAGGGAAACATTTTAAGGTTGTGGCCTCTTTGCGTGACCAAGGGAAACAGAGCCCCCTTCTGACTGGTGTGTGAGAAATAAATCATTCTTTAAACAGCTGAGATGATTTGATACCACAGCTCAATTTATGCTGACTGATACCCTTTATCACCTGCTAAGTCTCTTAGCCAGTGATGGTGAAACTTTTAGATCTTTCACTGATAGCAAATAGCCTGCTGGACACACTCACTCCTGCTCTATGGAACTTCCCCAGACAGGGTTTTGGGAACTTAACTGAAAGCATAAAATTGGGAGCACTTGGTGAAGTCTGAGGCCACAGGGGTAGAAGGCACAGACATGAAGGATGGGATTGATCCTGAGTCCAAGAGTGTCTGAGGCTACCTCTTTCATACTGGGACACTGGTGCAGGCTTGGCTAACAAGTGTATTCACTTTGGCAGGTGGCCCTTCCCCGGGCGGCGGTGCCCCCTGGCACCTTCGGAATGTCCTTAGCGATTCAGTGGAGAGCTCAGATGATGAATTCTTTGATGCTAGAGGTAAGTGAATGCTATCCTCACACCTAGAGGGATCATCTCCCCAGGAGCCCAAAAAGAGGATTCTTGGTGGGGATTAGTATTCCTCCCTACCCAGACTTGCCCAATATGTGAGAGCCCCAAGAGCAGAAGCTCAGTGTCCATCCATCCATCCGTCCATCACTTGGACCCCTAACATATGCCAGGAGCTGTGCTGGGGGCGTGGGACACTGGAATCCAATGAGCTGGTCACTGCCCTCATCAGCTTGTAGTCTAGTGGAAGAGCAAACACCAGACAAGGACACAAAGGGAGATGGAGTCACTGCTGGGAGATGATGATATCAAGTAAAAAATACTGTACCAGCTATTAGGAGAGAGCATGATGCAAGGACACTTAAATTTCTATGGGCGTGAGCTGGGTAGGTGAGGAGGGGAAGAGAGAGCCTTCTAGACAGATAAGATAGAAGGGATGTTGGCACTGACTAGAAAAGACTCAGGCACATTCCAGGCTCTGAAGGAAGATCCTTGTGGCAGCAAGGTGATAAGCAAGAGGAGGAGAGTGGGAAACAAGGCTGCAGGGGCTGTGCTGACTGGTGTGCAGGTGACTTCTAAGATCACCCTCTTAGATGGGAGGGGATCCAGAGCATTAGAGGAGCCCTCTCAGTGACCAAGAGGGTCTTATGGAATGGACAGTGGTGAGGAAATTAGCTCTGTGTCAAGGCAGTGGACAAAACACAGAAAGGGGTGAGGTCTAAGCTGGGTTGGAGTAACTGGGAGATTTCTAAGAACTGGAAGATGAGAATTGGAGTGGGAACATCAGGCAGAGGACTGTGTGAGCCAAGGCCTGGAGGGCTGCACACACAGGGCAAGGGTGTGGGCAGCAGGAGGAGGTGAGTCAGTATGGACTTTAGGCCCAAAGACCCTCACCAGCCAAGCTGAATTGGGCTAGGAGGGACGGGGAGGAGCACGATGTTTGCTCCCCAGCCAAGTTGGGCCTCCAGTCCCCACTCTGAGAAGTCACCACATTGAGGGTGTTGACTTACTCCCAAGGTGAGGCCAGTTTTGAATGGCCTGGCAAACAGAAGAAGTGCTAGGAAAACATCTGGACCCAGAGCTGGACCCTTAGGACATGGTCTCAGCTATGCCATGGACTTGTTCTATGGTGCCAGGCAGGTCTTTCTTCTTCTGGACTCAGTTTCTGTAGCAGTTCAGTGTCTCCCCAAATGGAGAATACTCAGTTTGGATGATTTCCTAGGGGAAGTGCAGCTGGGGCAGGGGGAGGTGTTCCTGCTCAAGCTTTCCCCATTTGTGGTTGTGGAGAGAGAACCCCCTCCTCGACACCATTTCTATACCAGCCCATTTGAGGCCCATTTCTTATCTCCCATTGGGGTTTGATTGGAGTGGCTGCCGGGACTGTTTCTCCATAGCAACTAACACACAGCGTGACAACAACCAATAGCTTCAATATCTCGATGCTTAAAAGACTTTTATTTAAAACATTGCTGCGGTTCGTCAAGGCTCTGCCTGCTCAGCTGAGATGATGGCTTGCTGGGGGAGGCAGGAGCTCAGAGGTGGCACGAGGGTCAGCTCTGTCCCTGGAGGCCTTGTTCACCAGCTTTCCATGCATGCAGCTGTGGATCCTTCCTGCGTCATGCCTGCTGGTTGCTGTCTTTATTTTCTCTTCCCTGATCTCACTGTGATGAACTTGGCCTCATCCCTCATTCTCTTCTTGATGGCTCCACGTTCTATTCCTTTCTTTGGTCCTATCACCTCTTTCTTTTCTTCTCTCCACTTCCTCAGGGACTCCCTCTGGGATGTGGTCTCAAACCCAGATCATTTCAGAGCTGGGAGGCCCACCAAGGTCTTTAAATCCAGCAATCCTGGCTGATTTTACATGCTATGAAACTGAGGCCAGAGAAACTTGTTCAGGGCCACATAACGAGGCAGAGCAAAGACTATATAGTTCACCTCCTTGTTTCGCTCTTTCAACAAGTACTTACTGAGTATCTGCCCATGAAGTTCCAGGCAGTGGTCTCAGTGTACAGGAAAAGAGACCAGAGCTACTTAGAAAGTTAATCATTCTTAAACTACCACCCCTTTCACTCCTAGGCAGTTACCTAAGAAAAAGAAAGTGTATGTCTACCTAAACATGGGCCTGGGAATGTGCTAGAGTTTCATTTTTTAAATTCTAGCCCCAAACTTAATGTACACCAATGAGTGAAGGAATAAACAAATGGTGGTACAAGAAGGAACAAACTGATAGTATTTGCAACAATCTGGACGCATCTCAAAATATTCATGCTAGGTGAGACGAGTCAGACTGAAACAATGTACGATTTCATTGATGTCTGACTCTAGAAATACCAACTAACCTGTACTCACAGGTGCAGATTGGTAGTCTTCCTAGGGCAGGAAGCCTTGGAGGGATTAAAAAGGCAGGAGAAAAGTTCTGGGGGGTGATGGGTATGTTCTCATTGTCGTGATTGGGGGGATGATTTTGCAGGTGTTTGCATAGGTCAAAACTTATCACATTGTGCATTTTAAATACGTATAGCTTATTGAGTGTCCATTACAATTCAAAAACAGAACCTGGGGCTGGGGATTTAGCTCAGTGGTGCTGCCGCCTGCCTTGCAAGTGCAAGATCCCAAGTTTGATCCCCGGTACCAAACAAAGAAATGAAACAAAACAAAACAAAACAAAACCCCAACCGCCCACAAAACAGAACCTGTACCCCTATAACAAAGGGAATGAGAGAGAGAGAGAGAGAGAGA